GTCATTGTGTATAATTCATGGCAAGAGAAGTAAAAAAAAAAAAAAAAAAAAAAAAGTACATGTTTCTCCAGTACAGTTTCTTTACAAGAGTGTGTTTCAAGTGGAAGTGTAGAAATGGAGCATGCTTATGTTTATATTGAAGAGATTAGATAAACTAGCCTGTTTAGGGTTCTGGCAGATGGCGAATGCTCAAGCCAATTTGCAGTGCTCCATTATAATATTTAAATTCACACACAATGATAGGACAGGGGTGGAAGGGGTTAGCATTTTGATAATTTGATGACTATTATCTTCCCTAAGAAGAATCTCCTCTTGCTTTTGTGGCCCAAAAAACAAACTCAAATAAATATGACAACCCATTTATCTTGCACCCGTTAGGGTTTACCACTTCATTGGGTATTATAATTTAAAGCCTTTTATTTCCTGGAGATTTGAGCTATAACATTTTTACTTTAGCCCCCTGCTATTTGTTTTGAAAGGAAGCAATAATTTGTGCAACCAGAACACCAACTGGGAAATGAAGAGTTGTATCACATAGTTACATTTTATTCATGCGTTTTGGGAAATGTGTCTCCTTATTGGATTTTTTTTTTTTTTTTTGTATATTAGCTTGTTTTTCCAACAAAACTTTAACACTCTTTTATAGCTTAGTCAAACTACCGTGTGTGTACACATTTATACTTGCACTGTACAAAGTTCCAGCAGGAAGAAATCCACTTTTATTCATAAAGAAGGAAAGGCTTTAAAAAATGGCTAATATAAACATGCAAGACTATCAAAAAACGAGCTATAATTTGTGAGCATCTACCTGAAAATGTAGTAGTTCAAGCATGCAAATTTGTCCAATTTGACTCTCCAGGTTTATTTTTTCATTTGCTTTGATATGCATATTTAATATGTAGCCTCAGGCTAGATCTCATTTGGTGAAAGTTGGTGCAGGGATGATGATGAGCCACTTCAGAAGGACAGAGACAGCATGTTGTTTCCTCTGTTTTATGTATTGGCCCACTATTCTGATCCATGGGTCTTCCCCTCATGGTTTTATTTGCACATGAAATACTAGCAGCATTTCAACTGGTTGGCTATGAATAATGATAGGCAAAAAGAAGTGTAGGTTAATTTGTTGTGTGCCGAGGTTTCTCTTGTGGAGGTGACAGTTTGTGACAGCTGTTTGACACCCCAAAAATTCATACACCTCTATTCTTACTAAGTGGTATAAAGCTAGACTGTGTGTGTTTAATGTGAATGCGAGGGGTGGGAGCGGTGACAGTGGCAGTGCTAAACTAGGAACTAAGGCACATCTCAGTTTTATTCCTTTGCTAGACCTGAAAACAGGCATAAGGGAAAGTAACAGAAAGAGTTGTCGGATTAGCCAATATTTACCATAGGACTTTAAATGGGGTACTCAAATAGTGCATGCTTCCCTTTTCAAAATCTACTGCTTTACTATTTATATAACTTAATTGGAAAGCAAAACCAAAATCAACAAAGGAATGAACTCTTCAGAGATATACCTGTGCTGGAAAAAGGAGACAGCTGTAAGCCGTTGTGCTATACATGTTTGGTAATAAATGTGTTTATCGAATTTTATTTTAGTGCTCTATTAACTGTTATGTAATGCAGTAAGTGCAAAGGGTCCAGGGACTTGGTAGATCAAATAGAGCAGCGCTGGCCACAAGAAGCTGAAACTTTTGTTATTACTCTGCTGTGTTTAGTAAATATAACAGCCCATAATTAGTGTTTGAATTTTTAACACCCTCATATTTTTTTACTGCTCTGAGGTATTAGCTGTAGATGGGAAGAAGGTAATTACAGCTATGCCCTGGCTCAACCAGATCAGTTAGGGAAAAAAAAAAAAAAAAGAAAAAAAAGAAAAGAGGAAAAAAATCTCTCCTGCTGCAGTTCAAGTTGAGTTTCCCAGCACAGACAATTTATTATTGTTCAATATAAACATACTGGGCCCTATCCTGCATTCTGTGTTCAGCCTAAAATATCTGTTGAGATTGCCAACAACAAATCTTTTTTTTTTTTTTTCCCCCCGAGCTGTTCAAATCTGGAAAATGTAATGCTTGTAAAATTTGGAGATTTTTAAGCTTTTTTGAGCATGTGATAACGTTTTGTGCTTTAATTACATTTCTTCTGTACCTGGCTTCACCTGGTGCCACACAATTCTTCCTTTAGCACAAACGTACTTTGAAGCCTAGTAATTCTCCCATAGAGATTTATGGCTCTCCTTCCGCTGCCTTTCGTGGGAGCAGGATCAGGACCTCAGTCTTTTTGATATTTGTTTATACTCTCTAGTCAATTTGCAGCTGAGAGGTAATAATATACAGATCACCATTTATAAAATATAATTAAAAATGGATAGAAATATATACACACGTCTTTTATAAAAAAGGACCGTTGACAGATTAGAAATACGATGCCTTAGCTGTAGAAGAGAAATATTAGTCCGAATACTAAACCTTTTGGCTCTCAAATGAGGAGATGCTTTTATTTTGTACTTTTGGCCATCTAGACATTTTACATTTCTTTAATATTTCTTCTCGAAGAACATTCTGTGCAAATTCCTGACATCTTGCAGATGAGAAAAAAATAAAAATATCGTAATATATATCTGTTCCAGTTATAAAATTAAACCTTTAGGTAAGATTTCACTGAGTAATGAGGAAGTAACTGGGGAACTGATGCCGCAACCTCCAGGTGTGCCACACTTTGATGGACTTCAGTGGGAGTTCTGAGTGTGCCAGAAACACAGGATCAGACCCCAAAGGTGCCCTTTCTGTTTGTAGTATGGCAGAAGGGAAACTAAGTAGCTAACTGCGACAATAGTAAGGCAACCTTTTTTCTTTAATAACCAAATTTCTTAGTATGTGGTTTAAGGATGTTACGGTAGACTCTGTGCTTTCTGAAGCGGCAAGCAGCATCAGGAACTTTCTGAGACTGTAGAGAACATTGTGTATTTCCCCTTTTTGATGGGCCAAGGTACTCCACAGTCAAAGATAATCTACAGCTTAAATTTGAGTATTTTAATTTTAAACTGGGTTCTGTCAAACTGAACCGATAATGTATTTCACTCTCTATTTGACTCCGGTGTTCTCTCTTTGGTTTGAGTTGTCTGTCAGTCTAGATGAAGTGTAGCCACACAGAATGACGTAGAAGGACAATGAAAAAAACAACAACCCCCCAATTTTTCAAGTCTCAGTTCCTTGCTGACAGGTGGATTACACGTCTGATTTCAATCTTAATTGGAAAATACAAAGCATGCAGCTTTTCAGAACATTGCCACGTTCCAGGAGTGTTAAAAATTCCTTCTGACACTTTCCTCAAATGCAAAATGAAGGGACAAGAATTAAAACTTGCACATATATATACATACATAC